GCCGAACATGCTGAGCATGTTCGGCCGACCCGAAGCCACCCGATGTACAGCTGATTTCAGCCGATTTACGACTGGAGTGCTAGGGAGTCAGAGGTCATCTGAAGTCTAATTGTTGTTGCCTTTCCACTAAACTCATACACTGCACACTCAGAAGATGGGATATATGTGTCAGCAAATGTCAGACGTTTAGGGGTCTATTCACTAAGCTGTCGTAGGCAGCCGAGTGACTAACTGACCCGAAGCGAAGTGACCTGAGCGCTGTTCGGCTATTCACTTCAGGCTGGTACGGTGTAAGACAGGAGAACTGAACAATCTAGGACAACATAGCTGATTTGGAAAAATTCTCCAATTCAGCTCACTTTCTAGTTCAGCTGTGTTGTCCTAGATTGTTCACTTCTCCTGCCTTCTCCAGACTCTTCACCCATTTGTGAATAACCCTGTAAATATATTTTTTTTAATCTTACCTAAAACACATTGACATTAACACTGACATCTAGCTATTCAATCTTTAATTATTCTTTTTGTACAGACTATTTTCTCTTCTTTTTCACATAGGAGAAAGGCATAGGGGACATGTATCTTGCTGGTGATCACTGTGATTGGTTATCACAGAGACCACATGATCAGAGATCATTAGTATGAGACCTGGAGCTGTGACAGCTCGGTCTCCAGGTGGGGAGAATACTGTAGAGCAAGCTGCCAGCACAAAAACATGCTGCTTATGTGCAGAGCTATTGAGGAAATCCCACTTACGTGATGCTGCATATGTGTGTGATGCTGTCAAAAAGGGGTTAATATGTTGCAATGTGATGACTATTATTATATATAGTCTGTAAATTATTATAGGACTTGTTGAAGGTATTTAGAACCCTCACATGCTCACTCATACTGGAAAATGTGTTTGGTTGCTCAAACACTCAAACATAGGGCTTACCTCTCTTTCTGAGACTCCTTCCCAGTCCTTTTAACGCATTGGTGGTGACAGATCACCAATTGTATAAAATGTATTCAGCTACGTTTCACATACAACCACTTTTTTTTTTTTAAATGTACAATATAGCTGATTGGATAATGTTTCATAAGCTTGATAAAATGTCAGAAGTGTATGTAAGGTTGTCTACTGTCAATAGTGAAAACTAGGTCAACCACAAACTTTAGACAAATGAATATTACATGAATAGAGCCCTAGGGGAAAGACACCAAAAGATCAAAATAACTGCTCATCTGCCTACCTGTATAGAACGGTATAAAATGTAAAAATATCTAATGTCATTGCAATTTTTTTTTCTTTCAGAACTTCTATAAGGACATTAACCGTGAAGCAATGTACATTAGGTAAGCATGCTTAGCTACATTTTTGAGGTTTCAGCACTTGTGGCTGTGGCTATAAATTCCAAGTTAATACATTTTAATTACTTTAACAGTGCTGACCTGTTCTCATCAATCTTTATTAATCATACCTGGAAATATTATGTGAACGGCCTAAAAATTCTGGCTAATCATTTAGATGACATGGTCTTTGGTATGTTGACTGTTACCTCTGACCAACTTATTAAAGTAAAAGCATCACCCTCACAAGTCCCAGTCACACAGTGTGATGTGCTCTTTACTCCTTTAGCACCTTCCTCAGGCCACTGATTTAATGTGTGGGGCTATAGAGATAGCAAATTTCAGCCGATTCAGCAGGACAAAATTCAATCTGTAGGTGGCCCTATCACCTTGACAAAAGTTGATCATTAGATCTACTTTTATTGAAGGGACATGATAGAAAATGATTGGCAAATCAGTGTTTGTTGCGAATCAGCCAGTGCCCCTGTGAGAATACAATTGAGATTTGTTAATTCACTCTGTTATCGTGGATGGAATAATCTGTCCATCCACGCTAAAGGTTGCTATATTTGTTGAATTGTTAATATGCCGTGTTGTAAATCTAATGTTAATTGGTACTGTACCTTGACAATTGTAATAAACCATAATTTAAGGAATTTGAAAATATATCATCAAGTAAATAACAAGAATCCTTTATGTACAGGTGTCAAATTCCTATATAGTATGGGGACAATAGAAGTGGTTAAACTAAATGCATGCATCAGTGAAGGCTTCATTTCCCATACTGGTTATTCAGTGAATATCTTAAAGTTTAGAAATTTAAGGCTGGCCCAAATGCGGCTTATTTTTTCTCAACTAAGGGCTTGTGAATGGGAACCTTTAGAACATTCCCTGTAGTGAGAGTATGATTCCTACAATTTCCATGGTAGTAAAAATAATTACAAGCTCCTTTCTTAAAAAGAGGATTTGCTTAAAGGAGAACTATGAGGTGAGTGCTTTTCACTCACCTCATAGTTCTAGCCTCAGTAGATCGGGAGGTGAGCGAACACATACCGGCATTCGCTTACCTCTCGATCCTGTCACGGCTCTCTGGCTGGATTCTGACTGGCGGAACGGACAGGGGAGGGGGTGGGTACAACTGGCTCTGCCTCTAGATAGGCAGAGCCAGCTGTCAGTCACGCAGCTGGGCGGATCCCGGCACAATTGTCGGGATCCGCTTCAGCTGCGGCGTCTCAGTATACCGCGAGCTACAACTCGCGGTACACTGAGCCTCGGGTGACGAGAGGACGCTAGTTTGTGTCCTCCCGTTACCCTAAGGAAAACTATGGGGAAAAGCCTTAACCCCATAGTTCTCCTTTAAACAATAGATAAGGCAAGTACTTACTAAACAGTGAAGTATCGTAAGACTTTAAGTATCAAAGGACTTTATGTATTATGTAGTTCAAGAAGAACATTTGAAGCCTACCGTCTGCTGGCTTGGAATTTAGTCAAGTGGTGAAAAAGTCTGTTTGAAATAGCTGCTTTACAATAACACCAAAACAAGTGCTGTTTTTAAACCTTCTTCAATGTGTATCTTTTTGCGCAGATATTTGTACAAGCTTCGAGACCACCACTTGGACTGCGAGAATTACACAGAGGCAGCTTACACCCTCTTGCTCCATACTAGGCTTCTAAAGGTAACGTTATCAAGCAGTATAGTTATGCCTAAATGTAATATGTCACAGATATCCTTTGTAACCACAAGCAAAGATTTAGGTGACACCCAAACGGAATTGCAAATTCTTGTATTCTTGCTGAAATTAGATAAATTAGTGTTGGTTAAAGCCCAATTCTAACCTAATTTGTTTTCAGTTTTTGGCAGAGTGGGTTTAAACCACTATTAGGTCTTTATTGCTGTCTATGTGCCTACTGGTGATTTTTACAAACCTTCTTATCCTTGTCACAGGGTGCCACAGGGCACACACCCATTGATTATGGAGACAGCAGCAAAAACAGTATTTAGTAGATTTGGGAAAGGCTTAAACCTGTGTAAAGTTTTTATTTTTGTCGGTGTCCTCTTGTCCTTAAGAACCCCATTCTTTCATTTTTTTCTTGCCATGTTTCAGTGACATAACATAAGGGGTCATTAGGTCACAAAATGCAATAGAAAATATAGTAGAACTTTTTATGGTTCCCTACTCCTCTATACTAAAAAATTAAACTTTGGTTGGAACTGGGCTAAAAAAGAGCACATGCTTTCTTGAGGACAACGTGTTGCACTGTGTGGTTAAGAAGGTAAGCATTGTTATAGTTTTGTTTCCAGTTATAATGGTTTTTGTGTTTTTTGTAAAAGGTGATGTTAATCTCCACCTCCTGTACCTTATAAACCCTGTTTACCACCACTGGCTATGCCCAAGTCACTTACCACTAATCATAGCCTCACATGGAAGCTCATTAGTGTAAATTTCAGGCCTGGACCCTCTTGGTTGTCCAACCCTTTACTGTATCTCCGTTCTTTCTTACTGTACACTACCTTGGTAACCCTATTATCCTTTTTCAAAATTAATTGATTGTTCCCCTTTCCTCTCTAATCCGCTGCTCCTTACTATTACTATATACAGCTGAGCAGAGTAGGGTTGCCACCTTTTCTTCAAGGGAAACCCGAACACTCTAGCGAAACACGGATATTTTTTTGGGAGAATGAGTGGTGGTTTATTCATTTTTAAATAGCGCCGCCCATTCATATGTAAATAACACAGTTAAGACAATTTTCAGTGGGGGGGCAGTAGCCCCTATTTTAATCTTGGTTGCCTGTCTGCCTGACATCTTGTGTCCAGGTTTCTGCTGCCATGGAACCCGGACACAGCATTCAAAACCCGGACAGTCCGGGTGAATCCTGGACAGGTGGCAACCCTAGAGCAGAGTATGTGCTGTCATCCTCTCAACCTTCCTCTGTAGTAGGGGCCCAGTCGCAGCTATGAGCACTGTTTATATGGTCCTGGTCTGGTGTCCCCTTGTACAGTGATAATATGAAATGCAGAATGACAGTTGAACATGTCAAAGCTGATATTTTTGTCTACTAGAGAAGGCCTTAAAGTGTATAGAAACCTGAAGAATAAATTTCTCTTATTTGCTCCCTTGTGGTCTAAGCACACCATTGAAAGACACTCTAAGCACTCTTTGCGTCTAAGCGAGGGAGGTTTAACTATTGCGCGGAACTACTGCGCGCAGCTACTGCGCGCAGCTACTGCGCGCAACTACTGCGCACAGAAACAGCTGTAGGCTAATTCAGGAACTAAGTCTATGGAGCGGAGTTAATTGTTTAAAAAAAAAAATTTGGATGCATTCTTAAATGCGCAGAATATAACTGGATGTTAACATTTTGTAAGTAATAACACCAGAGATTGTTGATACCGGTAATATCTGATTGCCTTAGGGGATCAGGATTTTTTTTCCTTGTTGGAGCAAACTGAACCATGCTTTTTAAGGGGTTTTTTTTGCCTTCTTCTGTGTCTTATATGGGCATATGGAGGCATTATAGAGGTTTTCTATTTATTCCTTTTTTTTCTCCATTAGTTGAACTTGTGTCTTTTTTCCACCTTACTATGTAATTATGAAAGCATCATGTTATATCAGTTTAATATGTGCAATAAAATATCTGTTGATCTAACCAGAAAGTTTGAGCTGCCTTGTGGCCTATGCACACTTCAGGTATTTATCTCAAATGGCCTGATTAACCTTCCCAGTTCCTATCTTTGGACTAAAAATTATGGTTATGTACATGATTCAGTAGTTTATCAAAGCTGACACCATTTAGTCAACAAAAATGTTGTGTGTTGTGATTCCAGGACTAGGAGCTAATTTCTGGTAGATCAACATGTATTTTCGCTTTTTTTTTCTTCCTATTTTGCCATACACTTTAAGGGCTTGTTCACACGACGACCGTATTGTGTCCGGACCAGAACCATGCGTTCCTGCACTCAAAACGCATCCCAATGTATCCCTATGTGTTTTATGGGCTACAGTTCTCATGTGCACAGTCCATTTTGTCTGTTCCGGATACGGTCCGGAAATGCACGAACGCGTCAAAAACGCAACGAAAATGCACTGCACTGCATCTAACATACTGACAGCCCCACTCCCAAAAAAACTGCATGCATAGCACTGCGTCTGCAGATCTGCACCAGATTTGGACCGGAAAATCGCGTGAACAAGCCCTAAAGGTGATTCTACCAAAACGTATTGAGACCTTTAAACAAAGTTTAATGTCTACTTCTATTTTTTCTCACAATATTTGTTTACAAATTATGCACAGGTTTGCTAGTAAAAAATAGTCTGGGTCTAAAATTTTTTATAGAGGTCTCTAGCTGAGTAAAGCTGCAGACATCTTTAGGGAGTCTTGTAGCAACTATCAGTAAATGCTTTAGAAAGCTAAGCCAGCAACTTATATGAAAGTATAAGGAAAAACAATGGACACTACCTTGTTCAATACTGTTGTAACATGAACATATTATTTCTTTAAGTGGTCAGATGAACAGTGTTCACCTCAGGTCATGCAGACAGAGTTCCAAAGTTCACAAACCCATCGGCACCTAAAGGAGAACTTATATGACGTGATCATTGGATACTTTGACAAAGGAAAGGTGAGATTTTTTCTGATAGCTGTGATGAAAAATATGTAATATTTTAGTTATATTAATAATATGTTTATTGTAAAATCTCTGTGTTGTGTTAAAAGTTACTATAAAAGCGAAATCCATTTATTTAGTGCATTAAAAATGCTGTTAGTTAGTGTTGGCACCTATGATTACCTGCACTTACTTGCAGCAGCTTTATTCATTTCTGCTACAGCTGAATAGCTTAATGGCAAGATAAGAAATTACTTTATAGTGAGTGAACATTATAAAATAAAAACTCAAGATACTGTGAAGGAAATTTATCAAAACTGGAGCAGACAAAATCTGGGGTAGCTGTGCATGGTGGCCAATCAGCTTCTCTCTTTCATTTTCAAATCTTAACTGAACAAACTGAGGAGAGAAGCTGATTGGTTGCCATTGGCAACTGCTCCAGATTGTGTCTGCTCAAGTTTTTGATAAATTCCCCTCTCAATGTGTTCACCAATTTTTTCGTAGAATCCTAAAAGCCAAGTTATAACTCTATGACTAATTTACTTTTTACATAGTTTAACCAGTTTTGAACCTTAGGCATAGAAGATTTACTCTAAAAACCTTCTCCTACACCCTGCTCATCATTCCCTACTCTGCTTCCACTATTACTGGCAATTCCTGACTGTCAAATTATAACTTTATTTCCAAAAAATCTGTCCCTAATTAACCCCTTATTAACTCTAATAAACCATAATTAATACTTTCCTCCATTCTCCCCTTAGATCTTGTTTTCTGCTGATTTTCTTTTATTTCTTTACCATTACTATATAAACAGTTTTTTTTTTCCTATTTTAATTTTAACATTTTCTGCATATAAAAATAAGCAAAATAGATAAGGGTGTGTTTTTTTTTTTCACAGGGCATATTTCCTAGTTGATGCTGGCTGCAACTTTTTTTTTCACATTTAAATAAATAATACACCCCCCTTTCCACAAACACACACACATATTATACACTTGCACCATATTGTGGTGTACACCATCCACATGCACTGCAGTGCGTTGTTAGAACACGTTGCAGTGCTTGATTTTTTTTTATTTTCAAAATAACATTAATTTAACTGTGTGGCAGCGCATGGCAAAGTGTTGTGACGCATTGCCATGCATTGTGATATGCTGTGCTGTGATTAAATGTACGCCTGCTTCATTTTATCACAACACACACACTAACAGTGCACAAACAATTTTTAACATAAGTTGCTTATTTTTGTTTTACGTTAATTAATTTTTTTACCGTTTCGCAAAAATGCGCAATTTAAAATGTACAAATATTTGTTATTTATTACCTCCATACAGTTTTATGTTTTAGATTTAGTCGGAAAAGTATTTTTTTGGTACGCTGATACTGATTTTACTAATTGTGATTAAATTGTAATAGTAATTTAATTGTGTATTTTTATCGGTTAACTGAGCCACAGTGTCTTGATTCTCTTCATTGGAATGTATGTGGGTTGTAGATTGTTTCCCCTTGTCAACATTCAGCTCTGAAATCATTCAAAAACTTTCACTAGATTGAAGAGAATGCATTCTTCAAAACTCTCCTCATTAACTGGCACTTGTAGATTGCCTGAGAAGAATCTCAATCTGCAGTAAGCAAACCTAGTATAAAGCTGGCCATACACCTTACAATTATCTGCAGATTTTCTGTGATCAGATGGAAAAGGTGCAACAGATTCCTCCATCTACACTTAACTGTGTGGATGGAGTAATCTCCACCTGGGCTAATATGTTGCACTTTTTCCATCTGACCACAGAAAATCTGCAGATAATTGTAAGGTGTATGGGCACCTTAAGGAGGATCACTCTTCCGTCACTTTAACACAAGTGTCTCCTATTGCTGTAATGAACTATGCTCACCACTGAGCCAGATGGATAAGCACTTTGGACTGGAGCAGCTTGGTTTGAACTCTCTGTGTTGTCCATTTCTCTATTTGGCTGATTTAGCTGAGTCTCTGTTTCCCCGGTCAGTTACTCATTAGTACCCTCAAAACAGGCAGGAATATTCTTTTTCCATTCCAGCAATACATAAGTGTGAGAAGTTTCTGGATTTACTCTCATGTCTACTATCAGCCCCTGCTATGGCCTGATGAACTTGTTCCTCAGTCCATGTGTCAGTGGGGATATCCATCACCATACTAAGCTCTATTCTGCTACATTGGTCTCTGCTGCTGTCTCTTGATTCATGATGTTGGCTCTGTTTATTGATGAGGTCATCACAGGGATAACAGGGTAATCCCAGACAAGAAACCCCAAGTGTAGCGCACCCCTTACGAAGCAGCATACAGTAATAAAGCAATGGGTCTCCCTGTGTTTCCTCTGTGATAAGTCTCGACAATGGATCCACAGCACACCTTGTGAGGCTTTGAAAAGTTTTACTAAGCACTAACATTTTAACTTTATAAAAGGTACAAGCAATTTTAAATGGAAACTGACACAAAATAGAAAACACAGTAATGTTAAGACAGGTGCAAATAAATGCGTTGGGACAATCTACACCCCAAGATACTTAAGGAACTAAGCGAGGTCATAACTAGACCATTATTCCTCATTTTTAAGGACTCTCTAATGACTGGTAGAGTTCCGAGTGACTGGCGGAGGGCTACGGTAGTTCCAATATTTAAAAAGGGAGCAAGATGCCAACCTGGGAATTACCGACCAGTTAGTCTTACATCGTTAGTTTGTAAACTGTTAGAGGGAATGATTAAGGACCATTTAGTAGAATTCGTGCGGGAAAATGACAAAATAAATGACTACCAGCGTGGGTTTAGGAAGGACCGTTCCTGTCAGACTAACCTACTGACTTTTTACAAGGGGGTAAGTAGAGATCTGGATGGAGGGAGGTCTGTGGATGTGGTATATCTGGATTTCGCTGAGGCTTTTGATACGGTACCTCATAAACGCTTACTATACAAGCTGAGAGCTACGGGCATAGATGGAAGGGTGTGTACATGGATAGAGAACTGGCTAAAGGAACGGGTACAGGGAGTAACAATAAATTGCCCCCTTTCAGACTGGGCTAGTGTCATTAGCGGTGTGCCTCAGGGTTCTGTGCTGGGACCCATGCTTTTCAACCTGTTTATTAACGACATCGGGGACGGAGTACACAGCGATATCTCAGTGTTTGCCGACGATACCAAAATTGGGAGGGTAATAGAAACAGACCAAGATAGTGTAACATTGCAGGAGGACCTGGATAAAATAGGGGAGTGGGCAACTATGTGGCAGATGAGGTTTAATGTCGATAAATGCAAAGTTATGCACTTTGGGAGGAATAATAGGCAAATGGGTTATACAATTATGGGTATGCCGCTAGGGAAGTCGGAAATGGAGAAAGATTTGGGGGTCATTGTAGACCACAAACTGAATAATAAATTACAGTGCCAGGTTGCTGTAAGCAAAGCTAGTAGAATCTTGTCCTGCATCAAGAAGGGAATATTTTGCAGGGATAGGTCTATAATTATGCCACTTTACACATCAATGGTTCGGCCCCACCTGGAGTATGCGGTGCAGTTTTGGGCACCGGTCCACAGAAAGGATGTCCTTGAACTGGAGAAAGTCCAGCGGAGGGCGACCAAACTCATAAAGGGGATGGAGGACCAGAGCTATGAGACACGGCTACTAAATTTAAACATGTTTACGTTGGAAGTAAGGAGATTAAGGGGGGACATGATTTTCATGTACAAAATGTTCCATAGTCATAGCAATATTAGCAACAAACTCTTTGAGATTAATTCCGTAACAAAGACTAGAGGACACCACCTAAAACTGGTAGAAAAAAAATTTGAACACAAGGGGGTTCTTCTCAGTTCGCGCGGTTAGGGTCTGGAACTCACTGCCTCAAGCGGTAATTTCCGCGATTAATCTGGAATCATTCAAGAGGCTTTTGGACGACTTCCTGAGAGACCGAAATGTACAAGGGTACAGGTACTCTTAAGAATGAGAACATTCATTGACCTATACACACACACACACACACACACACACACACACACACACACACACAACAGGTTGGACTTGATGGACTTATGTCTTTATTCACCTCAAATACTATGTAACTATGTAAGGTGCTGATACTACTGCCTATCTGACTTCCCACATTATACTGAATTGACTGTATTAAATCTCCTGGTGAATAGTGGAAGTAATTATACAGTCTTAGTCCAAACAAACCCAGGTCTTTAACCTACTGGTCAGTGGTATTGAACAAGGATAGCAGTCGGTGGGGCCCAAACTCTGATGGCAAAAGTGACTTGAATACAGTAGTAGGGTGACCAGTTGCCTCTTACCCATCCTGACATTGAAGCGATGACTCTGAGTTGGTCAGTGAGGAAACAGACGTCCCCGTCTCCTCCAGCCGACTAGCCTGGATGAACACAACATCTCAGATTCAGTGCACAGCAGGTGTCAACCTCGGATGTCAGGCTCACAGTCCTCCCAGGATGAAATCAGCAGTCTCTGGAGTCTTGCTGAAAATGTAATCCGCAGCATCCGTTCGTTCACACAGGGCCGCAGCTCGCTGTCTCACACAAATCGTGAAAGCACCGGAATTCACAGTCTAGAGCAATCGTTCTCCAGCCAGGGTGGTTATAGTGTAATTTTTTTGGGTGGGAAAAAGCAGCAAATACCTGAGTTATACCCAGGACCGAAAAAAGAAAAATAAGGAGGAGAATAATATACAGCAGGGCTCAAAATTTCAGGTTCTGAACTACTAGCCAGTCCTTAAGAGTTACTCGCCAACAGTTGCCCCACCTAACCCCTACCCTGTCCTGGCCCTAACTCCGCCCCTAACCACACCCTCTTAAATTATCTCATGAAATTATATCGTGTGTCTGTCAGCGGGGCAGCATCAGCATGAGACAGAGAGAGTGAAAGCCCTAATCCCCCAGCTGAAATTTTGAGCTCTGATATACATTATATATTAAGTAAATTATTATTTGAGGATTGTTACCCACTTGCCCTCTTTTCTATAAATGGTTCTTTTTTTTGTAGCTCCAGATGGCAGCTGATGCCCACTGCCATCTGGAGCTGCTCTGTACTGTCAAAGTTTAATATGTGTGGCTATTGTATCTCAAATAATACACCCTAATGTTTATTTTAGGATAAAACCTGCCCTGTCTCTCCCTCTTATATTGCAGCTTCCCAGAATCTGAACAATATTTCTGGCTATTGTCTCTCAGATAATACACACTAGTCACAAGATAAAACCCACCTTGTCTCTTTTTATTTGCTGCCTATTCAAGTGTTTAAGTACTGTCCTTATGCAGGGCAGTTTTCACCAAACACATACCTGAAGTCTATATTTTGACTTTTTGGGGAATAATTGGAGATATGGGCATAGAAGGGGTTGAGTGAATGTGGAGTTATTGTTTTGTAGTGTTTTGTGCACTTTGTTATGAGATTTGATTAAATGCCTACCACAATGCAGCTTTTAGATCTGCTATGCCTGCTACTTCTAATGGTCAAGTCAGGTCTATTACTGCTTGATAACAAAAAGCAGGTGTTGAAGCAAAATTACCTAAAATGGCCTTTTTTCTCAAGTTGAAATTAATAGAATCAGGGTGCTGCTGCTGTATTTAATCCAAGCTAAATTAAAAAGTTCAAAAAAATCAATTACACGTGCAAAATATACACTATGAGGCCAGAATACAGTGTCACTGATGCTGTCCATTAAAAACATACTGTTATGTGACACCACAGCTTAAAGTATGTAAAAAGGCAAAACTTGCCTTTTTGGATAGAATGTTACCGTCAGGTTTTTATTGCTGCCTGTGTCACGGTTAGGAGATCCACTCTCTTTAATTGTCCTGATTGCAAATGTGACTGGGAAAAAGTGAGGGTAAGTCTAAAATTGTGAGTTGCCACCTGAACAAACAGATATAGCGGGGCAATCTTGCAGTGGGGATGCTTGTTTCCGTGACAACTGCCTAAAAAGGTATTTCCCTCACATTGGAAAGATGTCCTCTTACTTCCTGTTGAGTCTACAGGACAGGCAGCAAAATATCCCTAATGAGACACAAAGGGCAAAACAAAAACTAATAGTGTTTTTAACCTTCCCTTACACTATTTAAAATTAAAAAAGTTTTGGCTTTAGATGTACTTTAAAGACATTTCCCAAGCATGTATTTTAAGGATGGCTTTTATTTTCATGTCACCCTCAAAGTTGGTTTAAAATGACCCACTTCCCACTGTATGATGTGTGTTTTTTTTTTTTAACTATTTTTGCTTTGTTAAATTGGCATGTCCTGCTCCCCATGCCCTTTTTGACCATAGCTGGCCTGTTTGCCTTCACAATGGGCAGAATTTACAATCAAGACTTGCCCCCCCCCCCCCCCCCCCCATGGACTTTAATAGTGGTGGCTGCTAAGTTCAGGTTTTGTGGATTTCAACAGGAATCAACTACCCCCCAGAAATCGAACCTGGGCAGACTCGTCCATCTCTAGTGACAACCATTTAATTGTTCCCATTATTAATAGGAGGTTAATTCAATATTTTATTATATAATTACATTTCAGATGTGGGAGGAAGCAATATCTCTATGCAAACAATTGGCAGAACAGTATGAAATGGAAATATTTGATTATGAACTTCTCAGCCAGTGCTTGGTAAGATATTTGTTTTACTTTTAGACAGCATTTATCAATGATTGTGCATATAAATATGTTGATTTATATTATTGAATGCTTTGTAATTTTAATTTAATTAACACATTGGATTTTTCCCACTGGCTTTAATATAAAATGTATACTGTCCGCTGGGGACACTTTAAAATAGATCTAAACCCTAACAGAATGACATTTAGTTTGCTTAATCACTGAGTATTATAAACAATAGCTTTTTCAATAAAATACTGTTAGTATTTCCTTCATTTTCATCCACTTGTACCAGCGTTGGCTGCATGTCATTGTTCTGAAACAGTTTCCCGATAGTGACAATGGTGGTCAATGCCTGTGCAATTTATGTCAGCATGACCACTTGTAACCTCCAACAGAAGTACATGTGACAGGGTGACAAGGCAAGAGCACAGCTGGGAGAATGGTGTCACCTTATAACAGAAAGTACCTAAATAAAGACCTTTATTGCCCGGATCGCCAGGTAACCTTTTCATGAAAGCTGCAGATTGAAATAATTTAAAAACAAAAAAAAAGAACCTTTCGTCTTAAATTCTTCCTACAGCCTCAAAGTACACTGAGTGGCCAGATTATTATGACCACCCTATCAGTACTTCGTTGGGCCACGAGATGACTCCACGAGATGACTTCATTGGTCCGCCTCGTGACTCCACGAGATGTTGAAAGGTGATGCGAGGAATCTGACACTGCACTGTTGCCCTTCTGTTGTCTTGTACCAGTCTTGCCACTCTCCATTCTGCCCTAACATTGACTAGTCGCTGACGGCCACAATTCGCACGTTCAGACCCAGATTTTTGGCTGACAGTCCAGTCTTTAAACACTTTAACAATGAGCCCCTCTTGAACATTTAACGAATTCTGCTGTTTTGCTGATACTCGCTCCATGGCTTGCGCCATCCCACGTTCAAAGGCTGTTAAATCGCGTTTTTTTACCCATATCTTCAGTAAAAAAATCACTTCTACTGTCGTGGTAAACAACCTGCTTCCCTATTTATAATGGTCTGGCCCTCTAGCAACTTCAGCGCAAAATTATAGCTAATTTGCCTACAAATGTCAGGTGGTCATAATAAACTGTGAGCTACTCAGTGTATATATCTGCAGTGTGAGACCTAAGGCATTGCTCCCTCTGGCTACTAGTCTCAGGAGATCTGGAGTGATATTTGGTATGTCACTACTGTGTTGCTCACTGTTCTCTTTGCTGAAGGCTCTAACAGTAAGAAACAAAACCCTGCCTCTACCCAAGTGGCTGCCTTCACACAGAGACACAGTGCAGTAATGGGGAAAATACTAGCTGCATGGAGACCACAGGCAATACTGGTGAATAGTCTTTTGCCCTCTGCTTGCATCTATTTGTGCACAGTCTCCAGAGTTCAGTTCCTCTTTAAAAGGTAATATGAGCTTTTAGTGATTACGTTTTGATTTAATTTAAAAGAATATATGTAAAAAGTGCACTGCACTAATAAAAAATAAACAATAAGGTGATCAGCGCCAGTAAGTGTAATGTGAAAATAAGAGCTACCAATCACTAAGAATATAATTAAATATCTGGAAAATGTGAAAAACAATATTGTCTGGATCTAATAATCATACACATCTAATACATTGAAACATTTATAAATGAATCGCATATATGAGCCTTCAAACAAATGGAGGCATAAAAAAATATATCTACACACAAAAAAAGCAATACACAAAAAGAGTCCCAGGAAAAAACAAAAGGAAACAATGGTGATTGTGCAAGAAAATTCCTCAGATGATTCGCAGCCAATATGCATGTAACTCTCAGGTAAGGATAATCACACAATGCAGGCATACCTTCACCTCCACCCAGTGAGTGATAACAAGTGAATGCTCACCTGGGGAGGTACACCCACAGAGATAGGTCAAATGCACTTTTTTCCTTGGGGGAGGGAAGCCCATGCACAGATTGGCGATAAGGTCTCCTCAGATCACAGGTACCAGCATAAATCCAGGAGGAAAGAGAAAAAGGACAAGGATATAGTGCGTAACGTCCAATAAAAATGCAATTTATTAAATAAAAAATGCGTACTCACAATGTGTCAGGGTACCATGCACAGGCGTCCTCACACCACATTTAGGTACCCACGCAGGATGACCAAATTAATATGCCCACACAGGATATGGTTCTATGCACACAGTTTATTTTTTACACATCAACAAAACTGCAAACCCTCTCAACCCCCACAGGTTTAGCAGTGAAGTAACAAACCCACCGTTGGGACAAACACCCACCTACAGCCAGGGGGAATAGCAACAAGGAGGGGTAACAGGCCTGCAGATATACGGCAGGCCTCAGGATACAAGAGTGGTCAGGTACAAGCCAGGTCGTTAACAGGAGGGCGGCGCGGTACAGGAACAGGATTCAAGGAGAGGGGTCGGTGGTATCAAGCCGGGTCGGTGACAGGAGGGCAGCGCGGTACACGAACAGGATTCAAGGAGAGTGGTCGGTGGTATCAAGCCGGGTCGGTGACAGGATTGCAGTCAGGTAGCAGGGTTCAGGTAGCAGGGTTCAGGTAGCAGGGCAAAAGCCAGGGGAGTTAGTCAGGTGCAGGCGACGCAATACTGAGCCAGCTTCCTGACTGCAGGGAGAGCCTAAATACCCTCCCAGGAAGCACCAGGTGATGGGATGATCAGTCACAGCTGGGGCACACCCGCAGGTGAGTACTGGAGCTGCAGGTTCCTGACAGTTCCTGGCTGCTGGAGACACCCGCAGGCGAGCACAGGAACTACAGGACCTGGCTCCAGCGCCACCTGGGGGTGCTCTGGATCCTGACACAATGGCGTAAACCAGGGGTAGCAAACCTCCAGCCCTCCAGCTGTGGTGAAACTACAAATCCCATGATGCATCTCTCTTCGGGAGTCATATCTGTGGCTGTGAGAATCTTGCAATGCCTCATGGGATTTATAGTTCCACCACAGCTGGAGGGCCAGAGGTTTGCTACCCTTGGTGTAAACAGTGGATGTCCTCATTGTGCTGTTAGACATAAGTTCATAATATCAAACCAGTATAGAACAAAGAGTCATATATCGAATCACCACTAGATGTTCCAATCACTTTCAGGGAGATTTTCAATTCATTCAGCTATCGTTCAAATAAATAAAAAAAAGGATAAATTAACCCAAAATAAATCCAAAACAGGTGTGCAGATCAAGAGTTGACTTTGCGCCATGCAGCTCAAGGCCAGAGACTTGAAGCCATTGGATCAGAATGCTAGCAGTTTCAGAATTAGCTCAGTAATGGCAGCCTACTAATTATTCTGAGCACTGTTTTCTCAGCTCTAAGCCTCTAAATACTTTTCTTTTTCTTAATGTTCCTATGCTTACTTGTTTCTTTTGTCACAGCACAAAATATATTGTATAAATATGTGTAATTTTAAAGCCTAATGGTTCTGTCACTCCTGGGGAATAAAGACCCCTTGCAGTAGTTCCGCAATTCCACAAGGGTTAAATGCTTATCAAACCCAGGGAGCAGCAGCAACTGGGCCCTATAAGCAGACTCTTAGCTGCTATAGTAGCTCGGAAATTTGCTTTCATGTGTAAAGCTGACAGTCAGCTTTACACTGGAAGTGATCCGGTGGGTGAAAATTAATTTGCTAATCGTCCCTATGCTGAATGAACCCAGAAGCAGCAAGCTTTTCATCACTTCTGGAGAAGCTGATTAAGCACAATCTGCTTGATCAGCTTCATTGGAGTACAGAGGGGACATTAAGGGTCTATTAGATCCTTAAAGTCTGTATAAACAGACACCTGTTACCACTAATGTAGCTGTGTTTATGAGCCCCCTATGTGATAGCAATAACGTTAAGTTTAAGAAGAGTGTAAAAAAAATAAAGTTCAATAATAGAACTTAAAGGAGAACTATGGGGTAAGTGTTTTTCCCCATAGTTCTCCTAAGGGTCACGGGAGGACATATTCTAGCATTTTCCTGTGACCCAAAGCTCAGTATATCACGAGCTACAGCTCACGGTATACTGAGACCGCCGCAGCCGGGACGGATCCCGACATTACTGTTGAGATCCACCCAGCTGCATGAGTGACAGCTAGCTCTGCCTATCTAGAGTCAGAGCCAGCTGTACCCTCCCCTTCCCCGTCCGTTCCGCCAGTCAGTGCTGGAGGATCGGAGCGGGGAGGGGAGAATGACAGTCACGGCTCTCTGCAGGTAGATGATCGAGAAGTGAGCGAGCGAAGGTATGTGTTCGCTCACTTCCCCGATCTATTGAGCCGATGTGTGACAATGAAACTGTTACACGTCGGATCGATAAATCACTCACCTCGTAGTTCTCCTTTAAACAAAATGCATGTCATTTTTTCCCCCTGCCTCTGTCTACATGCACATATGTAAGAAACCAATGATTGTGCCACACATGTTGGGTACTGAAACACACAATTTTATCATTCACTGTTTTTCCCAAACTGATGACCAGTAAAAGCTTTTAAAGCATTACTAACTGACAAGTTTGGGTACTGTAGTGTTTTACTATTTCACAAGGGCACACAATTTTAAAGCTTGACATGTTTAGTATCTATTTATTTGGTGCAACCTCATCTTTTATATTTTAACAAAAAAATTGGGTGATTCTTAGAGGTTTTAAGTAATCTTCAGGCCCAGACTGTACATTTTAACATGTGTCCAAAAAATGAAAACAAGCAGCTATGGCAGTAAATAATTTTAACGGACCTAAAGTGCCCCACCATCATCACTTAAATTGTACATTTGCTTGTGAGAATAAATTTGCACGAAGAATCAGGAGAAAAAAGTAGCAACCAGTGATACACAAATCAAATGTAGCTACTTGATTTATTGATTTTTAGTGAAAAAAGTCAAGCTTTGACCTGTGGAATGGAAAGCTGTCCATAAATGACATCCTCAGGATATTACTTTTTCCTGACAGTTTGACTGGGATTGAAATGTTCACCTTATTTCCTTATTGCTCTCAACTGTCGGTAAAGAGATAAATATGGTGTTAAAAGAATATGCATAATTTCTGGAGATCACATAAGCATGCACTTCTGTGACTGAATTCAAAGAAAAACTTTGACCTGCGGATTATTTGCTAATGTTACATTTATTTAAGCGGACCTTTACCTCCTTTCACTAAAAATGTTTGGAAATACACCAGCTTATACAAATGTACTGTAATATATCCTTTGAGCTGTAGATGGGACTGTAGTGCAATACTAGTCTCTATGTGCATGTTTTTCTATGGTACAAAGGAAGTTTTTTGTTTCTTGCTCTGTTCTCTTCACAATGTTGTATGCATAAGTATAATGTTCTTCTAAGCAAGTAAAACTTAATAAAGCACTCCTCAAGATCTTAGTGCTTCATCTAAACACATAACCAACAGGTTATGGGCCCGGGCATTAAACAGAACACTGCAAGTCAACAAGAGCCGCATTCAAGCTACTGAAAAATGGCAAGCAGTTCAGATATGAAGTTTGCAGTCGCAAAGCTCGATACCAACTACCAGCTATTGAAGCTCAAGCTTGAAAGACTGCTAAGCAAAGATGACTTGTGGCATGCACCCGCAAGACAGACCCACTGATGGACCTGCAGAGGAATGGGACAAAAAGAACAGGCAAGCTAAAGCAATTATAAGTCTGCTAGTGGAAGATGACCAGCTTATCCACATAGGAAAAGAGAATACAGTTAAATGTATGTGGACTGCATTGCAAAAACTGCTTAAGTGTTCAAACCTAAACAGTAAACCATATCTGCTACAAAAGCTGTATAAGATGAGGCTAAAAAAAGGCCAGGAAATATGTGAACATGTGAATGCCATGCTGGAAATCATAGAACAGCTATGTGCAATTGGAGAGGAAATGAAAGATAACCATATGGTAACATTACTGCTATGCAGCCTTCCAGAGTCCTACATTGCTCTTATTAACGCTCTAGAAAGCAGACCTGAGCAGGAACTAACACTAGAATACGCCATAGGATATTATAAAGAGAGGATTATCAGAAGATATAACCGTACTGCCCTGCCAAATGTTCATGACATGCAAATGCTGTATGGAAGAAAAGGCCACACATACCCCACTTCCACAGGCCACCAAAAGAAAGCCCACCCACCCCATGGAGCTCATACACAGCAACTTGTGCGGGCCAATGTAAACTCCTACATCAGGGGGGGAACAGATATCTACTGACTTTCATGATGATTATTCTAAATACAGAACAAGTTATCTGATTAAGCACAAGAATAAAAAAAATCTGAAAAACGTCAAGAGTTTTTAGCCATGTCCAGCAACAAATTCCAACAGAAACCAGGAATTATATGCACCGACAATGGATGTGGAATACGTCAGTAAGGAAGTGGAATCATATCTGAAGAAACAGAGTATAGTACACCAGAACACCACACCATATACTCCTGAACAAAATGGGGTAGCATGTTGTCAGATGCCAACCTACCTAAGAAGTACAGGGGAGAAGTAGTCATGGCTGCAACATACCTACAGAACAAACTATTATTAAAAGTACCACATTTGTAATGTGGCATGGATCAAAGCCTAGCCTAGGGCACATTAGAATGTTTGGATGTAAAGCTTCGCTTATTTTCCAAACGAGAAGTGATCCAAATTGGAGAACACAGCCATTGAAGGTATTCTGGTGGGCTATAGTGAACAAAGTAAGGGATATAGAATCCTTCACCCAAAGATGGACAAAGTGACAATAACTCAAAGCATTTATTTCGATGAGAACTCATCACCAGAAACAATGATCCTGGGAAGTTGTGAAGTGAATTCGCCCAGTAACTCAGCAAAGGAAGCTGAGCAAAGTGAAATTGTACAGGAGTCAGAACAAGAGGTGGAACTCACAATGAATAACTTAAGCTCCATGTTAAATTCTGCAGAACAACCTGAAATTGGAAGATCCACTCGAGCAACAAAGGGAATACCACCCTGCAAGCTGTCATATAACACATAGCATACTCGAACCAACATTATGGGAAAACATAGAAAAATCACCAAAACGCAAAGCCAGCAGCAAAGAATGGCAGCAGAAGAATAAATACAATCACTTCAAGAAAATAAAACGTGGACACTCACTGAGCTTCCCCCCAATCACTGAACTATAGGAAGCAAATGGACTTTTAAGGTGAAGCTCGATGAAGTAGGAGATATCCACAGATGCAAGGCCAGATTAGTTGTCAAGAGATACTCACAGAAATTTGGAGAAGACTACGATGAAACATTCACTCCCGTTATAAAACACTCCACCATCAGAACACTCCTTAGCATTGCCGCTGGGAAGGGCATGCAAGTGAAACACCTAGACGTCAAAACCACTTTCCTATATGGAGACATTAAGGCAGAACTCTACATGGAGCAATCGCCAGGGTTTGAGCAAGGACACAACCTTGTGTGTAAACTCCATAAAAGCATACGTACTCAAGCAATCTGCAAGAATGTGGAATAAGAAAGTGAATGATATACTCAAGAAAGAGGGATTCACAAGAAGCGAGGCAGATCCCTGCCTTTATTCCAGGAATCAAGAAGACAGATGGATATACATCCTAATTTATGTTGATGACATTATAACCTGTTTTGAAAAAGAAGGGGACTATCGTCAAATAGTTCACAAACTAAAACAAAACTTTGAAATAAAAGAGCTAGGCAACATCAGCCACGATCTGGGTATGCAAAAAGAAAATAAGATGGAAGCTATCTTCTTCTCAACCAAAGTTAGAAGAATTGCTGAAATTTTTGAACAATTCCACAAGCAAAGTTCAAAGGAAGTAAAAACACCTATAGAAGCAGGCTACCAAAATAGCAATGAATAAGAAATCTTGCTAAACAACAATGACATGTATCGCAGAGCAATCGGAAAGCTACGATACATTGCCACTGTTACAAGACCAGACATAGTGGCAGCAGTGGGCATACTCGCTAGAAAAGTCGCAGCACCCTGTCAGCATGACTGGAATATAGTAAAGAGGGTACCATACAATACTTAGAAGGAACAATTTGGATGAAGCTACAACTGCCAGCAGCGTCAAATACAAAACTAGTTGGATATGAGGATGCAGATTGGGCTGAAGAATGCAAAAACCACAAATCCACAAGTGGTTACATCTTCCAATAGGAAGGAACCTTAATTTGATCTAGCCGAAAGCAAGCTACTTTCCTCAACTGAAGCTGAATACATAGCAGCAGCACACACATGTCAAGAAGCAATATGGATTTGCCAGCTTTTAATGGACATGGGCATAGACATGTCAAACCCCATCCCGATCTTTGAGGATAACCAGGGATGTATAAAGCTGACACAATCGGAAAGGGTCAACCCTAGAACCAAGCACATCAATGTGAAGTATCATCTGCTTATGGACACTCAAGAGCAAGTCATTATTGAAATCCAATATTGCTCATCAGAAGAAATGACTGCGGATGCACTCACCAAGCCATTGCCAAAGATCACCACAGTTTTCTTTGAAGAAACTGAATGTCCTATAGCAGCGCATATACTGTTGAAAAGGAATGTTGAAAATACAACATATACTAATGTACTTTAATATGTCTTTTGAGATTTAGATGGAACTGTAGTGCAATGCTAGCCGCTATGAGCATGCTTATCTATGATACACAGCAAATTTTGTTTTTCTCACTCTGTTCTCATAATGCGGTATGCATACGTGTAACGTTCTTCTAAGCAAGTAAAACTTAATTCAATATTCCTCAAGATCTCACTGCTTCATCTAAACACATAACCAACAATAAGCACATCATAATGCAGCTCTGCACGCTGATATGAAATTATCTTACATTCATTAGTTAAAGAAACATATTTTTCTTTTACTTACTGTATGGTTATTGTTTTTCCACTGCCTGGTCCTTTTTGGCATTAGTGATGTAATGTGACCAAGTGTTGCATACTGGGTAGGCTACATTAGCAGTGCATTGCTGGGAAATCTCATCTGTAATATCACCAGATCTCGTGGAAAGGCATTTTCCACCCCTGAGATGATTTACATGGTCACATGTTCTAGTCATGTGTGCCAGAGTTTCAGGAGGTAAAGGAAGATATATTGATCTGCCCTTAGTTAATATGGCCACAGCAAGAAGAATGAGCAGGAAAAGAAAAACAAGGTATTTTACATACCTTGTTTTTCTAAAAAGCCGTCAATTATCTATAAGTAGCTGTTCGTAGATTGTCATTATTGACCATAAGGTGTATTTGCTGTCACTTCAAAGATATGGGTAAAGTTCCTCTTTAAGTTTGCCACCTGTACAGACTTCCAGACAATGCTTTGAACATTTTGAAAAACAAATTTCAGCATATCTAAACTCTTTTCAAATCTAAATGCAATTATTTTTGTAACTTTATTGTGCATATAGTTCACAAAATGAAAAAGCATGTTTATATTGTTCTTGAGTCAATGGCGTTTCATTGTGTCTGTTTCTGTTTTCCCAGTTTAGATGTACAGTAATTGTCTTTGATAACTACGTTAAATCTTGCTATGGCCATAAAGTATATCAACTTATTTTGCTGTTTTTTTTTTCTTTCCTGCTGGCAGACACAGCAAGCAAAATTTTATGAAAACATAATGAAAATTCTCCGTCCAAAGCCTGATTACTTTGCAGTTGGATATTATGGCCAAGGGTTCCCAACATTCCTTCGGGTAAAGGTTTCATATTGACATTAATTTTGTGAGTGCCAGTAGAGTTGTAAAATGAACTAACCCAATAGCCCAAGAGATTGGAATTACAGGTTTATTCTCTAATGTTTTATTGAGCAATGTGGATGATATTTTAGGATCATATACAGTAGTCACTCTCTGAAGTGGTTTTAATGTTGTGTTATCATCCCCCAAAACACACTTCATTTATGTGCTTAATTTATCATTTATGTGCTGGTTTGCCATACATTTGATAAATTCTGCACTTTTGTTACCACTTACTTCTGTCCGTGATTAAAGAGACTCTGCCGCTAAAGCATTTTTTTCAGCAAAAATCTTCCCATAAGATTATATGTGTATTTAACATATTTGAATGTTATTTACCTGTAAAAGCCTAGGGTATGGTTAGCTCATTGTTTTTCCAAGCCTACACAAAATGGTAGTTTCATTAATAAGTGTAAAGTATGGCCTTTTTTATTAGCTGATTTGACACATGGACACAAGTATGTAGTCAGTCTTTCTAAAATTTTGAACAATGGCCACTTTTACTATACAAATATAGTTACTTACACAGTTTTGTTTGGTTTTGCTTTTCCTTTCTATTTTTTTTATTTTTAACCTTTGGTGTACTTGTTAATTTAATAATACTGTCTTCACAATAAAATGCTGTTAATTTTCTAGAATAAAGTTTTTATTTATCGAGGAAAAGAATATGAGCGGAGAGAAGATTTTTTGGCACAGCTGATGTGCCAGTTTCCATTTTCAGAAAAACTGAATACAACCTCATGCCCAGGAGATGATATAAAAAACTCCCCAGGACAATGTATCCTTAATATTCAAAGATATGGTATATTGGTACTATATATGTCATGTACACTGGTAGTTGCACTCTTACTTGATTATTGTCATGACTTGTTGTCTGGATAGCTGTGTAGTTACAAGTCCAATGAAAAATCAGTCTGTAACATGATATTACAAAAAAACTGCAAAGTGAAGGCAATTCCATAGTAGCACCAAAAATGTTTTCTTTCCACCTTTGGACAGTCTCCAGTAAATTCTACTCTAATTCTAATGACTCTGGGTGTCAAGTACAGGGGAAGTTTAGGTTAAGGTTACTAGCAGGTATCACAGGACACATTGCAGTTTCTTTAAACATTAAATACACTCTTTATATAAAGCAGGCCATGTGCAGCCTCTGGGTTTGGGTACCCCTCTTATTTCTGAAGACCCTCTAAAGGATGCCTTTGATAGAAGTTCAGCTCAGAAAAAGGTAATGTGAGACTACTAACAACTAGGAATCACCAATGAACAAACTACTTCAGTAACCATAAATCTCAGAAGGCCACCTCTGTTACCTCCTTCTGTGTATCCTATACAACTATACATTTTTATTCAAAAAAGTCAAGACAATTTGCGTGAAAACCACAATACGCAATATTTTTCATATTACTTTCAATAATTTTTATTAATTTTGTTTAATCAAAAGAAAATGCAGAACATGGTCTCCATGAGACCAAAACATCATGCATAAGTAAGTATGAAGAGAAACAGAAAAACCAAGACATCCGGGATATTTCTTGTACAAACATATAAATAGTAGTCAGACTATATATAAGCACATAGCAAGGATTGAAAGACCTATATAATGTCAATATGTAGGTAAAGCAGACTGAGATAAAAAAAAAACAAGGACTCCAATATTTTAAAAAAGTTAGAATTTGTTTTATATTCACAATGGAGTTAAATTATTTGGAACGTTTCTGAAGTGTTGATAGCTATAGAGCAGTGGTCTCAAAGTACCGGCCCGCGAGTTGGTAGCGGCCACTCTTGGTTTGGTTGATTTATTAGCGAAACTCCACAGCAGTAACCACCCAATCCACTATATGTGATTCAATCCCGTAATGTATAATACTTGATGCGTATGGAATGAGTAGCTCTAACAGTCCACAGAATAAATGGCAGATGGGATGAGCAGTTCAAAACAATCCACAATCAGATAGTCTATTGTTTTTGCAACTGTATATAGCAAATGGAATCAGAGATTGAACAATCCACAATATAGTGCAAGCAGATATTGCATAATATTTGTAATTGGCACATGGGGTCAGTAGTTGGAACTATCCACAGAATAGCACTCAAATCAGATATTTGTATAGTACCTGCTGTTGTGGTTGGTAGAAGGGAACAGGAGTCCTAAAAGTGCTAAGCGGCATGTGTTGGTTCACAGACGTTCTGAGTAAGCCCTCAAAGGTGTCCAACAGCAGGAGGTTAACCCAGCTTTGCTTCCTTGTATGCTAGGGACCTCTGAGGTCATACAGAATGGAATGTCGAGGTGGTTGTTTGCTCAGTGTCCACAACAACACAAGGATGCCGAGCAATTCAAAACCCCGCCATTTTAACTTGACAGCCGGTGCAAGGAGGGAGGAGCGGTGTGACGCTGCTGAAGTGGGTAGCGCCGGGCTCCCCTCGCTGGAACGTGCAGAGGTACAGTAAATCTATTACTCACCTTCACTCAGCTTCAGTAATCACCCAGGAGTGAAACATCTCTCTTTCGTTACATAGCAGGTGTTGCCAGCCCCAGAAAAAAGATCTTTCAATACCTGCCAATGTATGTATAACTCCTCCTCTGCATAGCAAGTGGGTAACTGTGGGCATAGGGTTCTGTTTTAGGTTTTTCTTGTTCAACCTGAATATGTAACCAGAGCCCTATCTCCTGATTGGAGGATAATTCTCTCCAGTTATGTAGCAGAACTCCAGCTACACCTTAAAGAGGGACATACGATTTCATAATATTATAATCCTCCCTTCTCCCCTTACAAGCCTCCAATAACCTTTTCTTGATATGAAAACCATAAAATGTGAACCCCATTAGACAATAACCCTGCTACCACACAATTAAGATTTTATCAGAAATAATCCACAACTGCTTAAAGTCAAGTTCCAACTTTGTAAGTGATTACCATTTATTGTGGTAATGAAGAGGTGCAGTGATGATGTATACATGTGCACATTTTCATGACTCACATTGCAGGCTTTCTTCATTTTTTGATGAAGGTTTTATTAGGCCTGATGCCTAAAAATTTAATTTTCTTCCCAGGAAAATCAGTGTGGCACCAGGATGTCAGACTGTAATCAGCTGCCCCCTCCCTGTCACCCATTGTAACATGATCAGTAAACACCAGCTCTGCCTTTACACACAATACACTGTCTGGAGGGGGAAGATATACACACATTTCTTGCACAGCACAGAGGCAGAAATTTCCATGTGGATATACAGAGGAAAGCTAACAAAAATGTAAGTTTCTGCTCTTATATACATCAGCTGCATATGCCTGCCTTATGTACATTTGGTGTATCTTGCTGGCATATGTTTCTTAAAAATGCCTCTGCAAAGGTGGAAATGGGCTTTAAGTTAAAAATTACAAGATAAAACTGGCCCACTGCAATATGACTCCTATCCAAAAGTCAACACCATCAGGAGCATCACCACACTAAAAATCCTGCCAGCAAATCAGATCAACAAGCAACAGGTAACATATCTATGCTTCACTGACAATACTAAAGGGTAGGCAAAAAGGGCATATTTATAAAATTATGCACCAAGAATAAATATTTTTAATATGAAAAAGGTAAAGCATCACTTTTTACATTGTATCCATCCCTAAATGTCTAATAAATATCTTAGATATCCCTAAATGAACAAATAATAAGAAAATACAGCTTCCAGATAAGTAAAGCAATTTCTGGAAAGTTCTTTTTATTTATGTGAAAGGAAAAGCTCACATTTTAGGAGGACATATTTGGTACATTAAGGTTGAGTATTTGTAAAATCTCTAATGCAGTAAATGTACTTAAAGTGTTAGAACACAGTGCCATAATGCAAGGTCATATATTTATTGCTGATATAGACATTTATCTCTCTCTGTTTGCCAACTATATTGTTTGATATGGCTACTGATGTTACATGTTTTATTTGTCTGTGCACCTTAACATATTGGTATTCCAGACATTCAGTGTTTCACGGTGCAACCTGTGCTTGAGGAGCAACCCCAGTTTAAAAACAAACCAGTACCTGACCAGATAATAAAGTAGGTTTCAATCACTAGCTTGTCTTCATTAACCATTAGACACATTGATTATTTTATGACATTTTTAATAGGACTTGTACACACTAGACAACCTCAACTAAATATGAGAAATGCAACAGGCCTTCATGGGTCACACACTTGTTTTTCCATTTCTTTTTTCATTCCAATGCACTGTTGTACACCAGAATATATTCACCACTTTTTTGTAAATTGGTTACAAACTCTGGCTACAAACTCTGGCTACAAACTCTGGCACTGTAGGCTCTTTCTTTTCCTGCATTTGGGATAGGTCTTTCCGTCTCATATATGCTGATCTGATCTGTATTGGCTTCAGCTTCTAATTCAGTTTTTCTGTATTGACTGTTCCTGTTTGCATGTATATCGTGTTGCTGTTGGTTATGGCTTCGCCTGTCTATCTGCTGTGCACTGACAATCACATGGGTTGCATACAGAGAATTGTACTGCTATTTAAGCCTTTATATACCCTCAGTGGCTCTGGTGAAAAATAGATCTTCCCTGTCCCTGTCCCTACACGTAGGTAAGAACCATTTTTCATCGGCTAGCAATGCAGTATTATTCTTTTTGCCGCATCTCAACTTAACTCAACCAGGGGTTCCTCCAGGGGCTGCTAGGGGCTCCTTGAGCAGTAAGCAGTGGCAAATTGATCTCCCACTACACTGATAACCTATACGGGGGGAAAGGGGTCAATTTTTCACTGACCACCAATGATGAAGTTAACTTCTTCTCTGACCACTAAAGTTAGGAGACACCACCATTTCACTGTCTGCATTTATTTTTGGTTACTAGTATTATTATTATTATTTATATTATTACTAATAATCTAATTTTAGGATTATTACTGAAAATATGTGTGCAATATATAGCAAGTGGGTGTTAAAAATGACCTGGCCTGGATTTCATATAAACTAAGTAAACCACTTTTGGAATTGGTTACAGTAGCTGCTATATCTGGGGTCACTTTTTGTGGCCCAACAAATAATTGTACTTGGATTTCTCATATACCACCTACCAATGTATAAAATAGTTGGGTAGATTAACTTCTTTTGAGAAAAGTAAATTTCCACATCAAGATGCCATGGAGAAGTATTCTAGGATATGGGGAAAGTGGATCGAATATAAAGCATCTAGTTTCCATTAAGAACATAGCTGAATGGGTTTGGGTAATGAGGTTTGGACTATTATTTATGGATGGTATGATATATGCAGTATTAATAGGTGTGAATATTTGGAATGCAATCAATGTTTAAATATGTTTAATTTAGTTGATTTTTATGAATTAGAGTAAATTGTGTAATTTAATTGTATTTAAGGTTGTCCCTGTGCAGGTTTTGAAATTAGTTTTTGGTGTAACTGTAATTATATTGTGTTATGTATAGAATGTCTTCTCTTTTTTTTTGTTTATGCATTTTTAAAATTTGATTAATAAAAAAATGTTGCATTAAAAAAAAGACTGGATTGGGTATCATATACAATAGGTAAACCACTTTCTATATTCTTGAATAAAATGTTCTAGAACATACTGATTAGACCAATGTACCATTAACTGTAGGTTCAATCAATTTAACCAGGGGTTCCCTGAGACCTGAAAATTGTTTTAAGAGTTCCTCTGGGGCAGGGGTAGCCAAACTTTTGCCCCCCAGCTGTGGTGAGACTACAAATCCCAATAGACATTGCAAGGCTCTGAGTCTTCATTAACACCTAGGCAACCGCATTTGAGTGCAGATTACAAGCTTTTTAAATGCGTTTTTGCACACGTTTTATGCGTGTTTCTGTGCGTATATATTAAGTTGCGTGTTTTTGTGAGCAGGTTGTGACATATTGATGTAAATGGGAAACGCACGCAAAAAAAGGGCAGCATTATTTTTTTGCGCTTTTCCAATAATTTCCTATTAAGTCTATTGGGACAAATCGCGCTGGTCTGCCAAAAAAGCAGCCGTTTTTCTACATGCGATGCTATGCTCTGGTGTGAACGGGGGCTAAAGAAATAAATGGGATTTCTTATCTTGAGCGTTTCAGCGTGGATAAATACGCACAACAAAACGCCTAATTGTGAACGGTGCCACATGAATGACTTCGAGATAGCACATGCATGATGGGATTTGTAGTGTCACCACAGATGGAGGGCGGACATTTTTCTACTCCTGTTCTAGGGTAAAGAGGTTGGGAAAGGCTGGTCTGCCTGAACCTGTATCTGCTCTTCTATGTGTATGCAATATACTTGTATTTCTGTTGCTGCTCCACTCTTGATTTCTACGATGTTCCTTCAAGCCAAGTTTTCCAAAATCCGTAGATCACGCCAATAGTTCCCAGATTTTTGTGACAGTTATTTGTCTAATCTTGATTCCGCAATTTACATGCTGGGGGTCCCATACTCTCTGTTTATGCATGCAACTGATCATTCAGAATCTATTCATGTCCCTGGTTTTCTCCCATTCATGTTTACTTAAAAAGGGTACAAGAATGGTGCTTCCCCCCACCAATTTGAACCCTGCAATTACTACAGCCTTCTATTTGGAACACACTCTCCCTTTTTCATACGTATATACTGTATATTCGAGAAAAAACGAAAAATACATTTGGGGGATCCAATGTTTCATTAAGATAAAAAGTTGCAAAACCTTCTGGATTGCATTAGCAGTTTAGTGAATGTTGTATCACAATCAATAAACATTTCCATGATATCCCGTTATCCTTTATAGATCCTAACCATAAAGAGACTCACCATTATGAATTTTCTCTGTATAGTATATGTTATATGTGTAAGTAACAGTTCACAATTGTATTGCTAACTGAGTGTATTGATGTCGTCTAAAATGCAAACAATTGATAAAATAAACACAGATGTTGTTTTATTGGTTCTATGGTATATGATTTTCAAGTGGACATTTCAGTTAATTTGCATACATTTAGCCTGTAAAAGTATAAGACCGTATGCATAAGTGTAAATGTATTAGCCTGACTCAATATTAAAACATTGAGCTATAATATAATCTTGAGCAAGAGCTAAAGTTTACACCGCAAGATCCTTTATGTTTTACAGCTTTTATAAGTCAAATTACGTGCAGAGATTCCATTACTCCAGACCTGTTAGGAAGGGGTCAGTTGATCCAGAAAACGAATTTGCTGTAAGTACATTAAATTGCCCATATTGATATGTCTATTAATTGTAGTGAAGGAGTATTTCCACAGCTGACTTTCTGCATCTTTTAGTAAATGCATAATATTCACTATTTCATCTATCTATATATTTTAGTAGGTGCTGTATATACAAAAAGTTAATTGAGTGGTAAATACAATAAGGCGGAATATATAAATTTAGCAGTAAAACTACACCTAATTAATTAGTTGTAAGTTGCTTCATAACCAAGTTTCCCATTTTAGCTCCACATTAAATGAGTCTATGATGATTGTATGCATAGTCTGTAGGTATGTTAATTTATTGAGCAGGAGGCACATTATATACAGTTATCAAACTGTGACTTTAGCGAACATCACATGCTTATTTATAAGGTTTACCTTAATAGATAATTAAACAGAAGAACAGAAATGTAATTAATTTCAATTTACAGGTCCTTTCATGTGGTGCTTGCATTTGTTTTAATTTTTCATGATAACATTCCCAGCAAGTGCATAAAATACCTGTTGTTCTTCCCGGAAATGCAGTGTCCTTGTTTTGCAGCCCACAGGGATCTTATTTATCTTCTGTAAACTACTAATCTCCCCATTTCCCATGCAATGTAGATAAAAAGGCAGATATACACTGCGTGGCCAGATTATTATGACCACCCCATCAGTACTTCGTTGGGCCACGAGATGACTCCACTAGATGACTTTGTTGGGCCGCCTCGTAACTCCACGAGATGTTGAACGGGGATGCGAGGAATCTGACACTGCACTGTTGCCCTTCTGTTGTCTTGTACCAGTCTTGCCACTCTCTGTTCTGCCCTAACATTGACTAGTCGCTGACGGCCACAATTCGCACGTTCAGACCCAGATTTTTGTCTGACAGTCCAGTCTTTAAACACTTTAACAACAGCTGCTCTTGAACATTTAACACATTCTGCTGTTTGGCTGATACTCGCTCCATGGCTCCGCGCCAACAATCATCCCACGTTCAAAGGCTGTTAAATCGCGTTGTTTACCATATCTTCAGAAAAAAATCACTTCTACTGTCGTAGTAAACAACCCGGTTCCCTATTTATAATGGTCTGGCCCTCTAGCAACTTTAGCGCAAAATTATAGCTAATTTGCCTACAAACGTCAGGTGGTCATAATAATCTGGCCACTCAGTGTATGTGTAGTTCAGCCTAGGCGGCAATCATGGCCCCCTCCATAGATACACTGTGTATGGGTAAGACATACTCAAGGGGGCCTCTAGGGAGCCGAACCCCGTTAGGCCATTCACTTCAGCCGAGTAATGCTGATTGCACCCGCCCATCGGCTGGCTTCGGCTCCCTTCAGTTCAGCCGAACATGCTCAGCATGTTCGGATGAGCCAAGGTGCAGAACCCGTTCTATTTACTCGATCCAACATTTGGCTCGGCTCGGTTATTCTGCTTGCTACCTCAGAGGTAGCGAGCAGAATTTAAAAAAATGACATGTAAATAAATGAAAAAAATAACGGTGTGGGGTCGCCCTCCCAATCCATACCAGACCATTTAGGTCTAGTAGGAATGTTAGGAGGGACCCCATGATAAAAAATTTAAAAAGTGTGTGAGGTTCCCCCCAAAAGTCATACCAGGCCTTTTAGGTTACTGAGAACAAAGAGCACAGGCTTGGGGTTTTGCGGCAAGAATTGAGATACTGCAGAGAATACAGCAGTATAAAATTGTCCAGCAGCAGATCAGTTTTAATTAGAGATAGTGGGCTTAACTGGTGTATGCAGTACAATGCACAATGCTGGAACTGCCACAATGCACTAGCCCGTCAGCTAAAATGCAAAGGTTAGTGTAAATGGGCCCTTAAAGATTTGCAGTGAACTTGCACAATAGTGACAGCAGTGCCTTAGAGGCAAAGCAAGTTGAAACATCTCCTTATGTAATGCAGACTGCTTGAGGTGCACACTAAAACAACTTATGAATTTGCAAGGAATGCTCGAAATTGGGATTGTTATTATCGAGTCATGCATGTACACCCTAAAACCTTAAAAAATGTGTAACAGGCAAGAACTGATTCTGTAGATACAGTAGATTCCAAAAATATGAAAAGTGAGGAATGCATTCCCAAAAGGAAGAACATTTAAAAAGCAACAACAGCATCTTTAATGATATAAATACATGGTGAATCCAAAAATGTCTCCAAATGTCATTAGGGGTCAGGAAGGAATCATTGTTTCATGTTAAAGCAAGTTGAAACAGGTTTATATAGGTTTTTAACTCTTTTCTGAGACAATAGGGTTTTCTAAGGATGCAATTTCTAAAAACTGAATTTGATGAACATATGCCTTTTTTATGCCTTTTTCTAACATTTTTAACTTGAATGATTCAATATTATTTTTGTCTTACAGTCTATGTGGATTGAAAGAACAACTTTTGTCATAGCTTACAAGCTACCTGGCATCTTACGTTGGTTTGAGGTTACATCAATGTCACATGTACGTACCCTATACATATAGTTAGGGTTTTACATTTCACTAAAAAGCTATTCAATCAATGATATTGTTAAATAATGAGTTGTATGAGAAATGCCATTCTTAATTTTTCAGGATTTATAATAAAACTCAAATCAACCAGAATCTCTGACATACTGTAAAAAAATGGAGCTTTTTACCATATCGATTTCATGTTGTTACAGCAATTTGGTTTACAGCTACTGCAAAGGTTTTAAGGACTCTACTAAGCCTACACCATTAAGAAAGAAAAACAATAACATTTAACATGAACTAAAATAACATTTTCTGTAGTGAAAACATTTATTGTTTAAAGGGTCACATATTTCTAATACAGGGCCTGCAGGTCCACATATTTCTAACTCTAGCCACTGCACATATAAACAAAAGCTGGTATTTTCTTTTTCTGAGCCTGTTTTATTTTTATCAAAACCAAATTATTCCTAGCGCCTTGAAATTGCATGCTGACTTAAGATGGCACTGCCTGACACCTAAAATCTACAAAATGTGTACAGCAGTTGATAACAATAGATGCTTCTCTTGGATATGTTATGCTAAATAATACATAATACTTTAGTATCATGTATTTATGTATTTAGCATTAAAGGAGAACTATGGATGGGGTTAGGGCTTTTCCCCATAGTTCTCCTAAGGGTAACGGGAGGACACAAACTAGCGTCCTTCCGTCACCCAAAGCTCAGTATACGGCGAGCTGCAGCTCGCCGTATACTGAGACGCCGCAGCCGGAATGGATCCCGACAATTATGTCTAGATCAACCCAGCTGCGTGAGTGACAGCTGGCTCTGCCTATCTAGAGGCAGCGCCAGCTGTACCCGCCCCTTCCCCCGTCCGTTCCTCCAGTCAGCGCTGGAGGATCGGACAGGGGAGGGGTGAATCCAGTCTCTCCCCTGTCACGGCTCTCTGCCGGCACAGGATCGAGAAGTGAGCGAGCGCCGGTATGTGTTCGCTCACTTCCCGATCTACTGAGCTGACCTGTGACAGTTTCATTGTCACAGTTCGGCTCAGATTATGAGGCTGAGTGAAAATCACTCACCTCATAATTCTCCTTTAATACTAAATACATAAATATGCAAATGCCTTTTTAGACAGCTTTTTCAATCCTATCTGTATAGAAAAGTGTAACCTTTTCTTTGCAGAAGGTTTTATGAAAAAATAAACCCTGCTGCTAAGAAAGGATAACGAATCTTGGTGGTGTTTCACTAAGGCCCCGTTCACACCTGACCGTTTTGTAGCGCGTCCTACGCTCGACGAAACGGTCTACGAAACGGCGCTACAAAACGGTCAAAAAAATAAATAGCATTGTAGTCAATGCCCTCGTTCCCACCTAGGCGTATTTCCGCCCGTCCCTAACGCCCTACAAAACGGCCAACGCCTGAAAAGGTCCCGGGACTACTTTGGGCCATTTTGTAGGGCGTTTTCCATTGGGATACAGCCAAGTAGCCTTTGGCTGTAAAAAAACCGCGTGACGGTCGCGCGACAGACGCGCATATTACAATACGCCTAGGTGTGAATGGGGCCTTATGCAGCACTCACCCACATTGTTCGTGGTTCGAGGAAATGGCGAACTTATGTTACCAGTTGTGTATTTAGCAACCAATTACCAAAAATGCACTTCTTGGCCTTGAACTGTAGTCAGGTGGCTTGGAAGGGCTAGTCATGGGAATTTTCTTATGTGGTGAGTGTGTGTTGGAGGAGACATGGAGTAGTTTGAGAAAAAGAGAGAGTGTTTGCAAGTAGAGCTAGTTGCTGCTGCTGATTGCTGAAAACATCTATTTTTAAAGTGAGTCACAGAAACACTCACTGTGTGTTGGACAGTTTTGAAGTAGGTAGGGCTAGATCGCTTAGTCAATGTGTTGACAACACTTTAAATAGATAGGGATTGACCATACAATGTTTACAGGGAGAGTTAGTTTCTGCAATCCTATACAGTTCCACTGCGAAGTCCTATATTTACAGTTACTTTGTGTTAGTGACAGTAAATTGGGAGAGATCACTTAGTGTGCAGGTAGAGATACCTTTTTGTTTGTCATCAAGAATGTTAGTTGTTGCTGTTAATCTACTTCCCCCACTTGCTTTTTTTTGGGGGGGGGGAGTATTTTTTTAATTTATTTCTCTTCCTCTGCTGTGATCATGCCTGAGCTCAGTACTGTATATATGTGCTTAAATAATAAACATTATGTCCAAAAAGTGAATCTTTTTGAGCACTGAAAAATTAGCACTCTTTCAACACAGATGATTTCTACTGCAGTGCTCATTCCCCTATAACCAGAGCAAACCTCTACTAAGGAACGTGTATTACATTTTGTTGCAACATTTTGTTGGAATTGCAATGAACACATCCGTTTCTTTTTTGCCAGACAACCATCAGCCCTCTGGAAAATGCCATTGAAACAATGTCTGCAACCAATGAAAAAATTCTAATGCTCATCAATCAGTACCAGCAGGATGAAAACCTCCCTATCAATCCTCTGTCCATGTGCCTGAATGGTATAGTGGATCCTGCAGTCATGGGTGGCTTTACAAACTACGAAAAGGTAACAAAACATACATATCTTTTTAAACTGTAACAAAATTAAATAGTTTTTCCAGTAATCATTTCTTAGCGACACTAAAGTTGAATACAAAAATGCATTAAAGTACCTTAACTATTAACAAAACTGTATCTTATCTGTGCATCACTCAGCTATAGATCCTCAAATCATCTCTAAATTTGTGATGAAACTGTTCTTCCTTCTTTGTTCCCCATGGTCCCTGTATGTGTTGTAAAAGTAGCCACCGCTCCAAGTTTGCCCCCATGATGGACTACAATCTCAATACAAAATAGCTAACTATACGTCACGGGAGTGAGCTTGGATTGGTGGCTATTTTACAACACACACACGGACCACGGGGAACAAAAGTAGCCCCCCTCCTGAAGGAAGGACAGTGTCAGCACCAATTCCGAGATGATTTGAAGATCTACAGCTGAGTGATACAAAGATAGGGTACAGTTTTGTTAATAGCTAAGGTATTTGAATGCATTTTAATATTTAACTCCTCATTTTAATGTAAAAGTGTCAAGCATTTTAAATAATACAAAAAGCTCCACCTTGTGTCAGATAGCTTATGGCCTATCAGGGTGCTTTTATGGAAAATAATTTTATAATAATAAAGCACGTGGGCTCAAAATAGAGGAGGCTAATCCAATGACATTGAACCCATGCAATAACCATAGATTCTAAACAAAGCCCCATTTCTTTGGGGCCCAATACTTTAATTTAACCTTCCTGGCCGTAATCCCGAGTATGGCTCGGGTTAATTTTCAGTTCCAAAAGCGGTAACCCCGAGCCACACTCGGGATTGCACTGTGGTGTCACTTACCTTTTCCCTACGTACCCCTGGTGTCCTCTGGCCGATGCCGGCATCTGTCTTCCAGGTTCCTTCCCTGCGAGCGTTGGAAATACACACCATGAAATACACACAATGTCATTGTAATCTGTTATGATTACATTTATGTATCAAACCATTTCACCTCAGTTTTGTCCCTACAGCTTTGTCCAGTGCCCTGCCTGCACTTTTACCGTTCTTTCTGCCTGGAAACTTGAGAACGTCCATGGCATCCAAAAAGCGTCCCTTTAGGTCAAAAGTGGTTTTAGACAAGCTAGAAAACAGAGATAGTGATTTAGAATCACTTGCAGAATTGAGTGCAGAATTTTTTATAATTATTTATAATTATTCATTGGAATTCAGACGAAATTTCGGAGATTCCGAATTACAGGTATAACGAATGCAAATGAATCCGATAAGTGTAAACTGTACAATACATTACCTTCTGTAATGACTTAGGTTACCAATCAAAGTTCTTCTTTTAAACGCATTTCAATCATTATTCTGAGAAGACTGTTCTGAGGATCAGTAAGAACAGTGCCAAAAAAATAGGATATTGTGGGGTTTTTATCTTTTTACATACAGTTCCAAGCTCACAAAAATATATTATAAATATTACTGATTAAATGTTGGATATTATTTTAATAGTAGAAGCAAATCCTCATTTGAGAAGTCCCTTATGGAATTGTTCATGGTATTAATTGCAGCAATAATCAAAGTAGAGATTTGCTTGTGTGATTATTTTATTTAACCTCACACTGTCTTAATCTAAATAACTGAAATATGCAGCTGCTTCTGGTATTTTCTTTGCATATTTTATTTTGTGGGTTGTAAATCACAGGGAATATCACTATTAACATTGTTACTGGAATTCCTGTAGTGATTTTCTTTGTTCGACTTCAGGCTTTCTTTACTGAAGGTTATATGCATCAACATCCTGAGGATTGTGAGAAGTTGAGCAAATTGAAAGATCTTATTGCGTGGCAGGTACCGTTTACTTTATAATATTTCCATATCATTTTTTATAACTGACAATGATTTAAAATTACAGTCTCTATCTTCTGCATACTTTCACACTTTATATTCCCTGCTAAAGGTTACTACAGTCTATAATCCCCTGGCATTTTTATTCTGTTGGCACTGCTATTGTTACTTCACTTAGAGAATGTAAAACAATTCTCAGCTGTGTAGCAAAGAGGCTTCCCAACCCATTCCTCCATCATACTGTAGCTGAAATAGAGCTTAAAATGGCTCCCAAATATTCAGTAAGATAAATGATTATAAAATATATAAAAAAGGAAATCAGGATTGCAAACATAAAATAAACGACGGATTGTGAAAGTGAATGAGACAAATCAATAGTTGTGTAACTTGGGCATGCTACACATGCCCCCAAAAAACGTTATTGAAGTAAACAAGGTGTGTATAGTGCTTCTCCCCACTGCTGCCCCCATTCCCCCTATGCTGGGAGTTCCCAGCTGTCAAAATGATAGCTGGGAGATGCTGTAGAAGCATCTTCCAAAATCAGACAGTCTGACAATATGTAACCCCTTAGTGACCATTGACATCCATAGTACGTCACTGGCACTGGGCCCGTTTAAACAGACTCCCGGTGGCTAAAGCCGCCAGGACGCTGCTCACCCATTTGTAAACCTAACGGCCGGCTTTACAATAGAAGCAATTTTGGCGACTCGACTGTCGCCAGATCACTTCTCCGGGTTATTTCTAACTCTAGCCACTGCACATATAAACAAAAGCTGGTATTTTCTTTTTCTGAGCCTGTTTTATTTTTATCAAAACCAAATTATTCCTAGCGCCTTGAAATTGCATGCTGACTTAAGATGGCACTGCCTGACACCTAAAATCTACAAAATGTGTACAGCAGTTGATAACAATAGATGCTTCTCTTGGATATGTTATGCTAAATAATACATAATACTTTAGTATCATGTATTTATGTATTTAGCATTAAAGGAGAACTATGGATGGGGTTAGGGCTTTTCCCCATAGTTCTCCTAAGGGTAACGGGAGGACACAAACTAGCGTCCTTCCGTCACCCAAAGCTCAGTATACGGCGAGCTGCAGCTCGCCGTATACTGAGACGCCGCAGCCGGAATGGATCCCGACAATTATGTCTAGATCAACCCAGCTGCGTGAGTGACAGCTGGCTCTGCCTATCTAGAGGCAGCGCCAGCTGTACCCGCCCCTTCCCCCGTCCGTTCCTCCAGTCAGCGCTGGAGGATCGGACAGGGGAGGGGTGAATCCAGTCTCTCCCCTGTCACGGCTCTCTGCCGGCACAGGATCGAGAAGTGAGCGAGCGCCGGTATGTGTTCGCTCACTTCCCGATCTACTGAGCTGACCTGTGACAGTTTCATTGTCACAGTTCGGCTCAGATTATGAGGCTGAGTGAAAATCACTCACCTCATAATTCTCCTTTAATACTAAATACATAAATATGCAAATGCCTTTTTAGACAGCTTTTTCAATCCTATCTGTATAGAAAAGTGTAACCTTTTCTTTGCAGAAGGTTTTATGAAAAAATAAACCCTGCTGCTAAGAAAGGATAACGAATCTTGGTGGTGTTTCACTAAGGCCCCGTTCACACCTGACCGTTTTGTAGCGCGTCCTACGCTCGACGAAACGGTCTACGAAACGGCGCTACAAAACGGTCAAAAAAATAAATAGCATTGTAGTCAATGCCCTCGTTCCCACCTAGGCGTATTTCCGCCCGTCCCTAACGCCCTACAAAACGGCCAACGCCTGAAAAGGTCCCGGGACTACTTTGGGCCATTTTGTAGGGCGTTTTCCATTGGGATACAGCCAAGTAGCCTTTGGCTGTAAAAAAACCGCGTGACGGTCGCGCGACAGACGCGCATATTACAATACGCCTAGGTGTGAATGGGGCCTTATGCAGCACTCACCCACATTGTTCGTGGTTCGAGGAAATGGCGAACTTATGTTACCAGTTGTGTATTTAGCAACCAATTACCAAAAATGCACTTCTTGGCCTTGAACTGTAGTCAGGTGGCTTGGAAGGGCTAGTCATGGGAATTTTCTTATGTGGTGAGTGTGTGTTGGAGGAGACATGGAGTAGTTTGAGAAAAAGAGAGAGTGTTTGCAAGTAGAGCTAGTTGCTGCTGCTGATTGCTGAAAACATCTATTTTTAAAGTGAGTCACAGAAACACTCACTGTGTGTTGGACAGTTTTGAAGTAGGTAGGGCTAGATCGCTTAGTCAATGTGTTGACAACACTTTAAATAGATAGGGATTGACCATACAATGTTTACAGGGAGAGTTAGTTTCTGCAATCCTATACAGTTCCACTGCGAAGTCCTATATTTACAGTTACTTTGTGTTAGTGACAGTAAATTGGGAGAGATCACTTAGTGTGCAGGTAGAGATACCTTTTTGTTTGTCATCAAGAATGTTAGTTGTTGCTGTTAATCTACTTCCCCCACTTGCTTTTTTTTGGGGGGGGGGAGTATTTTTTTAATTTATTTCTCTTCCTCTGCTGTGATCATGCCTGAGCTCAGTACTGTATATATGTGCTTAAATAATAAACATTATGTCCAAAAAGTGAATCTTTTTGAGCACTGAAAAATTAGCACTCTTTCAACACAGATGATTTCTACTGCAGTGCTCATTCCCCTATAACCAGAGCAAACCTCTACTAAGGAACGTGTATTACATTTTGTTGCAACATTTTGTTGGAATTGCAATGAACACATCCGTTTCTTTTTTGCCAGACAACCATCAGCCCTCTGGAAAATGCCATTGAAACAATGTCTGCAACCAATGAAAAAATTCTAATGCTCATCAATCAGTACCAGCAGGATGAAAACCTCCCTATCAATCCTCTGTCCATGTGCCTGAATGGTATAGTGGATCCTGCAGTCATGGGTGGCTTTACAAACTACGAAAAGGTAACAAAACATACATATCTTTTTAAACTGTAACAAAATTAAATAGTTTTTCCAGTAATCATTTCTTAGCGACACTAAAGTTGAATACAAAAATGCATTAAAGTACCTTAACTATTAACAAAACTGTATCTTATCTGTGCATCACTCAGCTATAGATCCTCAAATCATCTCTAAATTTGTGATGAAACTGTTCTTCCTTCTTTGTTCCCCATGGTCCCTGTATGTGTTGTAAAAGTAGCCACCGCTCCAAGTTTGCCCCCATGATGGACTACAATCTCAATACAAAATAGCTAACTATACGTCACGGGAGTGAGCTTGGATTGGTGGCTATTTTACAACACACACACGGACCACGGGGAACAAAAGTAGCCCCCCTCCTGAAGGAAGGACAGTGTCAGCACCAATTCCGAGATGATTTGAAGATCTACAGCTGAGTGATACAAAGATAGGGTACAGTTTTGTTAATAGCTAAGGTATTTGAATGCATTTTAATATTTAACTCCTCATTTTAATGTAAAAGTGTCAAGCATTTTAAATAATACAAAAAGCTCCACCTTGTGTCAGATAGCTTATGGCCTATCAGGGTGCTTTTATGGAAAATAATTTTATAATAATAAAGCACGTGGGCTCAAAATAGAGGAGGCTAATCCAATGACATTGAACCCATGCAATAACCATAGATTCTAAACAAAGCCCCATTTCTTTGGGGCCCAATACTTTAATTTAACCTTCCTGGCCGTAATCCCGAGTATGGCTCGGGTTAATTTTCAGTTCCAAAAGCGGTAACCCCGAGCCACACTCGGGATTGCACTGTGGTGTCACTTACCTTTTCCCTACGTACCCCTGGTGTCCTCTGGCCGATGCCGGCATCTGTCTTCCAGGTTCCTTCCCTGCGAGCGTTGGAAATACACACCATGAAATACACACAATGTCATTGTAATCTGTTATGATTACATTTATGTATCAAACCATTTCACCTCAGTTTTGTCCCTACAGCTTTGTCCAGTGCCCTGCCTGCACTTTTACCGTTCTTTCTGCCTGGAAACTTGAGAACGTCCATGGCATCCAAAAAGCGTCCCTTTAGGTCAAAAGTGGTTTTAGACAAGCTAGAAAACAGAGATAGTGATTTAGAATCACTTGCAGAATTGAGTGCAGAATTTTTTATAATTATTTATAATTATTCATTGGAATTCAGACGAAATTTCGGAGATTCCGAATTACAGGTATAACGAATGCAAATGAATCCGATAAGTGTAAACTGTACAATACATTACCTTCTGTAATGACTTAGGTTACCAATCAAAGTTCTTCTTTTAAACGCATTTCAATCATTATTCTGAGAAGACTGTTCTGAGGATCAGTAAGAACAGTGCCAAAAAAATAGGATATTGTGGGGTTTTTATCTTTTTACATACAGTTCCAAGCTCACAAAAATATATTATAAATATTACTGATTAAATGTTGGATATTATTTTAATAGTAGAAGCAAATCCTCATTTGAGAAGTCCCTTATGGAATTGTTCATGGTATTAATTGCAGCAATAATCAAAGTAGAGATTTGCTTGTGTGATTATTTTATTTAACCTCACACTGTCTTAATCTAAATAACTGAAATATGCAGCTGCTTCTGGTATTTTCTTTGCATATTTTATTTTGTGGGTTGTAAATCACAGGGAATATCACTATTAACATTGTTACTGGAATTCCTGTAGTGATTTTCTTTGTTCGACTTCAGGCTTTCTTTACTGAAGGTTATATGCATCAACATCCTGAGGATTGTGAGAAGTTGAGCAAATTGAAAGATCTTATTGCGTGGCAGGTACCGTTTACTTTATAATATTTCCATATCATTTTTTATAACTGACAATGATTTAAAATTACAGTCTCTATCTTCTGCATACTTTCACACTTTATATTCCCTGCTAAAGGTTACTACAGTCTATAATCCCCTGGCATTTTTATTCTGTTGGCACTGCTATTGTTACTTCACTTAGAGAATGTAAAACAATTCTCAGCTGTGTAGCAAAGAGGCTTCCCAACCCATTCCTCCATCATACTGTAGCTG